GCTTCACTTCCCTACCTTCCCTTCTCGCCAATGTCAGTTTCGGGGCGAAGTGTCCACAAAGGGTTTGTTTGCGAAGCCCCCCCCCCCTCCACACCGGCCGTCCGTTGTGCAACCCCAACTGATCAAGGCCCCGCGGGCAGCAGGCAGGAAGCGACGGGTTTTAGATACTATGGAAAGGGTTAGATTTCCACCTTATGCGTGGGTTTGCGTTTTTCCCCACGTGATGTGCGTGTATAATGTAGACGTTCGTGTGGCTGTACACATACAGAGGCTGCACGGACATCTGTGCATGGATTTTAGGCACACACATGAACGCACGCACGTCCTGGTCTGGTGAATGTACAAGCGAAATGTGGGCTCAGAGGCGCATGCAGACGATATACCTGCGCTTTATGGTGTTCATACTCATTATCTCTTCCAAGTGCCGCTGTGAGTGAATGTGGGAGTGAGCTTAGGGACAGGGGTAGGGACAGAGGAGGGAGTGGGGATGAGCGGGAGAGGTAGACAGGGATAGCGGAAGAGATGCGCGAGAGTGTGTTTGTGTGTACATGTGTTCCCACGCATGTAAATGAAACTGATAGCCGCACCCTGATGCGATAATTTCGATAGGGAGGACCGGTCTGTCACCCCTTTTTGTATAGGCAATCAAAGCAGCCTTGCCTTGCATGAGGTGCCTGGCTTCCCTCCCGCGGCGCCGAGGCTGCGGGAAGATCAGGGGTCATCATCGCTTGATTTACGCTCATTGCTCGCGGATTTATTGTAATGGGCGCGAGGCCGCCGCGCCGTCCTGCCCCAGATCTGTCGGGCGATTGGACGCCGCGTCTCGTTTTCTGATTTGAAAATTCGATGTTTAGCGAAGCAGAGGAAGGCGGCGACGGCCAAGGAGATGGCATAGGGGGGGAAGGGGGAAGGGCATCATGAGAGCCATTGGTAAAGGGACATTTCCTCACGCCTGGCGGTGGAAGGGAATCTTTCTAATGAATCTCAAATCCATTTTGAAGACGGGGTGGAGGGGACTCCGAGGTGGTCGGTGTGAGTGGGAGTGACGGTGGGAGCTGGCCGGGAGCGTGCAAGGAGCGCAATCACGCCGGCCAGGGTTAGGGGAGGCTGATGAATAATTAAGGGCGAGTTCGGCGTCGGCGGCTGTCGTGACCTGTCCGCTATGGCGACGTCTCACGCGAGATCGGTGTTACGGTTTCGCTTGCCCTGGAGGCTTCGGGGTTTATCGCTCGCTTTGTCTGTCTGTCTGTCTCGCATCTCACTTTTGTGTCGCAGATTCGGTTAGGTTGGTTAGCCGGACGAGATGGTGGGTCGAAGACGTGCTCTGGGCGGGTAACAAGAAAGCTTTTTATAATCCAAGAGACGGGGAGAGGAGGTAAAGAGATCGATAGCGGCAGACGGGGAGATGGACGAGAGACGGAGTCGGAGGCTGGCAGACGAGAGAGGCGAAGAGAAAACGTGGCGTGCCTGACAGTGGTCGATGGGTATTATTACTCGAGCACCTACATTAGCCCGTCCAGGTGCTCATCCCAGCTACTCACTTCATCACTGCTGTTCCCACGCCGCCGCCGCTGTACCGTACAAGACACCGATGCTGTAATTAGCGCTGTAGCCTCCCGGGATTACCATAATGAGGCGCGGACTGGCCGTGAGTGGCGCCGGATCGTTTGTGTGTAGGTGACGTCGCGCTCTCCTAACGGCCTTTAGGGGAGGATGCCTTAAATGCCCGTAGCCACACGAGCAGTGGCTGAATTGACTGACTTCAGACGTGTCTTTGCGAGAACTATGCGTAGATGATTTTCTAACGTGTCACTGAGTGTGATCAGAGTGCAAAGGTGTTTAGGCAAATGCAAGATTACACTTACCAGTCGAAGTCAGACATGTCAGTGAGCGTTACCTATCATGTTCGCAATTCACACAAATCAACCAGCATGACTATAATCATGTTCTCAAGTCAAAAGGCGTTATCAGAGCCATGTTCCCAGCGCAGTAACACGGCTTAGTTAGCGTTAAGAAGTCATATTTCTCCCTCGTAACCTCCGCCGCCCCCTCCTCCCAACCCCTCCTTACTCTTTCTCGCTTCATTCTCCTCCCTCCCCCTCCCCTCCTTCCCCTTCTTCCCCATCCCCTCCCCCCTTCCTACCCCTCCATTCTCTCCCTTCCCCCCCTTCCTCTTAACCCCTTTCTCCCCTCCCTCCCCATTCTCCTCCCCCCCTTCATTTCCTCCCTTCCCCATTCTCCTCCCCCTTCCCTCCTTCCCCTTCCTTCTCTCCCTCCCTTCCTTCCTTCCCCCTTCCATTCTCCTCCCTCCCCACTCCCCTCCCCTTCCCCTTAACCTTCATTCTTCTCCTCCCCTCTTCTCCCTCCCCTCCCGCCTTCCTCCTTCCCCTTCTCCCCTTTCCCTCCCCCTTTTCTTCTTTCCCCCCTTCCCTCCCCTTCTTGCTACCCTCCCTATTCTCACACGGGTTCCTTAAGCTTCCATGGATATCTTGCAACAAGAATCATCATCTATTGTTTTATTTGTTGAAAGGGCAAGGGGGAAGGGGTATGAGGAAGAGGGGAGGGGGAGGTGGGGGATGGGGAATTCTATATCTAGCTCCTCCTCATGTTCAGTCCCTCATTCCTCTCTTTCTCTCTCCTTCCTCCTCCTTTCCTTCTTCCTCCTCTTTCCTCCCTTCCTCCTCCTCCTCTCCCATTCTCCTTTCTCGTCCTCTCTCTCTTCATATTTATCCTCTCCTCCTCCTCCGCATTTCTCCTTTTCCTGCTCTTTTCCTCCAGCCCCCCCCCCCATCTACTGCTCCTGCCAATCCTGTACTACTCTACTGGACATTTTTTTTTCATCGTCATCCTCATCATCTGTCATCATTCATCATTCTCCGCAGGTCGTCCATGTCATGCTTCTGTGTTGTAATCTTGTATTTTCTCTCCTCCTATCTTCTTATTCTTCTTATTCATTTTTTGTTTTTATTCTGTTTTTTTCTGGACTTTATGTTGTTTATCTTCTCACTTTTATTTGCATTATTACCATTTTTATCATTAGCATGATCTTTACCATAGTCATCATTACCCTTATCGTCATCATATTTGTTTCCTTTCCCCCTACTCCTATTCCTCCTTCTCCTACTCTTCCTATTACTCCACCTCCTTTTGCTCTTTCTCTTCCTCCTCCTCCTCCTCCTCCTCCTCCCCTCCAATCCTTTCTTCTTCTTCTTCTTCTTCTTCTTCTTATCTCCTCTCCACCTCCTTGTCCTACTCCTCTTCCTCTCCTCCTCCTCCTCCTCTCCTCCTCCTCCGTCCTCCGCCTCTCTCCTCCCTCTCCTCCCTCCTCTTCCTCCTCTCCTCCTCCTCCTCGTCTTCCTCTTATTTTTTTCTAATACTCAGTCAAGATGGTGCTAAGTACATCCTGTTACTCCCATTCTCTTCTGTCGCCTCCCTTTATTCCCCATTTTTATCGGATGGACTGGCTGTTGGCGCTCAAAAGGGAGATCGTTTGCCTCCTCGCCGCAGAGTGTAATGGGCAGGCTGGATGCCACGCACGGATGCCGCGCTAGAAAGGGGGCTTCTTTCA